AAAAAAAAAAAAAAAAAAAAAAAAAAAAAAGCCTCAACGCATACATACATAATACACCCTTTGGAATAAATGTAACCAAGAAAGTGGAAGACTATGTTAAAGAGTCTGAAAGAAATTGAAGATCCTAAAAGATGAGACCCCCCCACACACACACACCATGGCTTTAAGATTGGAAAAACTGTAAAAATTACCTACAAACCTGGCCAGTGGTAGGTGCACACTTTTAATCCCAGGACTTGGGAAGCAGAGGCAGATGGCTCTCTGAGTTTGAGGCCAGCCTGGTCTACAGAGTGAGTTCCAGCACAGAATCCAAAGCTACAGAGAAACCCTGTCTCAAAAAAACCAACCCACCCCCCAAAAAAGTTTTACTAAAAGCAAACTAGAAATTCAATATACTTCCCAAATTTCCAATGTTGTTCTTCACAGAAACGGGAAAAATTCTAAAAATTCTATTGGAGCACAAAGGAACCTGGAGACCCAATGCAATCCTTAGTAGTCAGAACAACAAATAATGCAGAAGCATCTGATTAAGATAAACTACAATGCCACAAATATTCATCGAGAAAAAAATGATTGTTTGCTGAATGGTTCCTGAAAAGCAGAGGGCAATCAGATCCACCTCACTCTGCAAAAACCTTCTAAAAATGGAAGACCCAACTCTGTTAGGAAAACGAAAGACTTTAACATAAGTTAGAACTTTCTGAATAAAACTTTATAAAAATCTTTGCTAGCTATACAGTAGTATGTATGTATGCATGCATGCATACATGTATACATCTACAATATTAATTTTATCACTATTAATCACACACCTTGCTTTAAGTTTCCCCATGTAGTTCCCATTAGCCTGGAACTCACTAAAGACTGCCCTCAAATTCAAGGTCAGCCTGCCTCTGCCTCCAGTGCTGGGATTACAGGTACTACAGGTCCCTGCCTGTGAAGTCAAGCATTATGTGGTGATAGGGATTTAATTCAGGGCTCCAAACACATTGGGCACTCTACTTAAGGCATTTCCAATCCCTATGAATGCCTTAAGTAGGAAAGAAAAGTATACTTTATCCAGGCTGACAGACACATTATTAGATTATTATTCCTTCAACATTGGAATTCCCGTATTTAGCAATGAGACTGTGTCACTAGTCCAAATAAGATCTTGCTATTCATCAAGAGGCAAAGATAAAGTTCTTTGTAATTTTATGAGTCAAATTTGTAATCTACAGTACTCTTTCTCAACCTATGGTCACTACCCCTTTGGCAAAGCTCTAAAAAATTTGATGAAAGTAGCAGCTTTGCAGTTATGAGGTAGCAATGAAAATAATCTTATGGAGCCGGGCAGTGGTGGCCCATGCATTTAATCCCAGCACTCTGGAGGCAGAGGCAGGTGGATCTCTGTGGGTTCGAGGCCAGCCTGGTCTACAAGAGCTAGTTCCAAGACAGTCTCAGAAGTTACAAAGAAACCCTGTCTCGAAACCTCCCCCCCCCCCTCCACACACACAAAAAATTAACTTGTGGTTGGGGTCACAACATGAGGAAATGTATTCAGGGCCATAGGGTTAGGAAGGTTGAGATCTAATTTTGCTTCGTTTTTAAGATGTAGCCTTTGATTACCAGGCTGGTCTAGAGCTCTGCAAGTAAAGGATGACTTTGAACTACTGACCCAGTCTTCACCTTCCATCCCACCTGACAGTCTTCAGACTTTACAGTCCCCTGACACTTTACTGTCCTGTCTCACGCCAATGTTAACCAAGCGCACCACATAGTGCTCACACCTTGCTGTTGGTCTTACCGGTGACTGGGGGCAGAAATGCTTTGGCTTTAGAGGGAAGAGGCTGGCGATTCTCAGCTTTAGGCTGAGAAGCTCGCATGGTAATTCTTCCCCAGGCTGCAAAAACGGACTCCCTTTCTGAAGTCAGAACTTCTACTATGCCGGACTCCCTTTCTGAAGTCGGAACTTTTTCGCCGGACTCGTCCTCCTCTCTCTTCCTCTTCAAACCTCGAGGTCTGGGTCCTTCGATGACTGCTTTGTTGGTTTTTTTCGCAATGGGCTTCAGTCTGGCCTCACGAGATGTTTGGGGAATATGCTGAAAATAAAATTCAACAGTATTCAAAAATGTTCTTGCAAGAAGAACTTGTTATGCCGATTTCACCGGAATTTCCCACTGGCTTGAGCAAGCACAATTTTAAAAACACTACTCTCTATGGTGTTGGTTCAACAAGGAGAAAATTTTGGCAGTTAAAAGCAGAGATCCAGCAGGAGAATGACTCAGTGTGGAAGATGCTGGCCTGGAGGAAGGACCGACTGTAATAAACAATCGTTCCCCCCCAAAACGCCTACAACCACAGCTCCCAGGGGATTTGACAGGACTGCCGGTGCAGAATAGCTGAGAAAATTTGAGCACCAGGTCCAGGGAGAGACACTGCCTGCCCCAAGAGGAGGAACACAGAAAGGACACAAAATGTACTGGCACTTGGTAAAAACAAAAAAGGAGGTTGAGTCCAAACTACACATTTGGTCCCTCAATTGTCAGTAACCCTGCCTTAGAGGAAGGTTACATAGAGCAATTATAGCGAAGCCCATGGGGGGGAGCCCACCTCCACTCCGTCACCATACCCGTTACTCACGCATATTTGTTCAGAATATGAACATTGTTGGAGTCTCTTGTAGACTTCCACTTTCTAAGGAAATCAAGAGAAAATAGTTAAAGCTTGACCAAACTCCACAAACTTAAGAGTCCACACATCAAAGAATCCCAGTGGGAGGACACTAACCTTGCCATCCGTACTCAACTGGTAACAGCGGCACCATTCCCGAAGTGTGTTCCGGGACACCTCATGAATAGGAGGCAGGACGTCTGGCAGGGACGGGTCGGGCTTTCGGGACACCGAGGGGTTGGTGTCCCAAGAAGCTGGCGTCAGGGAAACAAACGTAGAAAAGAACAGAGACAAAGCAAGAACTGTTTAGTCCCGGGTGGTTGTTGACAATCTAGTTTGCACGTAAAGCTGCCTTTTGTTTGCCCCTTACAAATGAGGAATTCACTTGAGGAATTCAAGATCACATCACACGTCTTAAAATAGGGGACCCAGGAGAGCCACCCACACTCATATTCTAAGTTCTATGCTTTCTCTTAAGATTGTCTTAGTATGTTTATGTATGTGCCAGTGTGTATTCTAGACAGCAGAACTATTTCTGTTTCTTCCATTTTCTCGAGACAGGGTTTCTCTGTGTAACCTAGGCTTTCCTGGAACTCTTTGTAGAACAGGCTGGCCTCAAAACTCAGATCTAGCTGCCTGCCTCTGCCTTACATGGGCTGGGATTAGAGGTCTGTACCACAACACCCTGCGTCTATTTTCGATCCTAAGGCAGCAAACACATGGGACTTAGCCACATAGAGAGTTACAGTTTTCTCATGGGGAACTACAGTGAGGCTTAGTGGACTGTGTGGTGTAAGAAGCCTGTCTGGTTTAGGGGTGCGGGTCTTTAAGCCTTTAATCCCAACACCAGGGAAGTAAAAGTGGGGAATTTTTCTGTGAGTTTAAGGTCTACATAAAGGGCTCCAGGTCAGCCAAGGCAGAACACTGAAAAACTAAGTCCAACAGAAACTATCTACTTTCCTAGCTTTCCAGAGTTTACTGAGAAATTTATTTCACACCTACACAGTTTTTCCCGGGACTCTTAAATTGGACATTACCTTCTGGCTTGAGCTCTGTGGTTAAAGATTCTGCTATAGGGCCTTCTAAGGTGAGATCTTCCGTGGCTGGGACCAGTGTTAGAATGATTTCTTCTTCAAGCTCTCCCTTAAAGTATGAGTGCAAAGAGAAACAGTGAACAATTCTGTTAACTTTCAAGGCAAGCTTAATGAATTCATTATTTACCATCTGTGCTCTTGTGTGGGGCACGCAAGATGCCCTGAACTTGGACGAGAGTGGGCCTCGTGAGAGGACTGTCCACAGATGATAGGTAATCTCAATCGTCCAGTTTTGCAAGTGATATGCCCAGGCTCAGAAAAGAAATGAGTTGCTGGGTGGTGGTAGCACAAACCAAAAAAATTCAGAATCTCAGCACTTGGGAGGCAGAGACAGGCGGATCTCTGTTAGTCTGAGGTCAGACTTGCCTTACAGAGTGAGTTCCAGTACAGCCAGGGCTGTTACAGAAGTACTGTCTTGAAAAGCAAAACAAAACAAAAAGAAAAATAATAACAACAACAATAAAAAAACAAGAAAGATTTTAAAAAAATGAATTAAGACTATGGAGTAGTGAAAGCTCCTTGAGGAAGTTCCTGAACATCCTACAGATTTGTGCCATACCCTCCCCTTCTATTGAAATCTCTTCACCCCCCCCTTTATTTCCAAACTTGAATTATTGATTTTTTTTACATTTGTGTAACACTTTATCAAAACACTCCAGACACAGGTTTACTTTTGTTACCTAAAAGAAAACAAACAAACAAACAAACAAAAAAAAACAGTGCCAGGCAGTGGTAAGGCACACCTTTAGTCCCAGCACTTAGGAGGCAGAAACAGGCAGATCTCTAAATTTGAGGCCAGCCTCGTCTACAGAGAGTTCCAGGACAGCCTAGGCTACACATAGAAACCTTGTCTTGAAAAGCAAAAAGCAACAACAAAACAAAAAATTGGTATTACCCCACTCTGGAGATGAGGCCTAAAAGCAGCCGTGAGTTGGCTTAGCTTAGTTCCAGTACAGCCAGGGCTGTTACAGAAGTACAGTTCTTTCTCCTAGCTTTGTACAGTGGTCCTTAGCTGGCCCAGGATCACTCATGCCTAGATGGGAAACCCACACGGCACTCAGGGTACTGGGGAACTGGTTACTTCTCAGAGGAAAAAAAAAAGTGTTTAAGTTATCAAAAACTGCCACTTAATCTTAGTTCACCTTTCTGGGAAAATTTTGTCTTAGCTACGGTACTCCTTGTCCTAGACAAAGGTACAGATTACTATTTCATCTGGGAAAGAGTTTCCTTTTACTCCCAGGGAATACGTACTGTAGAGCATGTGCAAAATAAAAAAAAGCAACAAGCAGAAGATTCCAAGATGGAGACTTTGAACTCGAATTGATTCCTCCCAAGTCGGGAGCAAGAGCGAGGCCTAGAAAGACAGTGAAAAGAACTACCGGAAAATAAATTCTTCTAGAAAGAAAGTTACCTGATCATAAGTGTCCTGGCTGGCAACTGACATTTTCGGCAAGCTTCAGAGAAGACAAAAGCAGCAAAGACAAGGATGTCGGGAGCTCACTGCTGCTAACCTGAGCGTTCATTTACAGGTAAATGCCTCCTCCTACTTCCTGTCGCCCAAATGGGCGCTTTCCCCTCCTCCTCCTCCTCCTCCCTCCACCCTTTCCTCTCTGACAGTGACTTTATCAGGTCCATTGCCCTCAGTAGACAGCTGATAGCACAGAGCTGAATTCTTACGCAAATCAAAAACCCAGATCCCCCTCCCACCCCTTAAGACTTTGCAGTCTGCCTGGACTAGGTAACCAGACCCTCCCTAAGGGTGGTGCATGCTAGTTATTCCAGCCCTGGAGAGAGAGACTGAGCCAGCAAAAGGCTCAACTCCACTCAGCCTGGACTACAACGTGAAACCCTTGAGGAAAAAAAGAGAGGACAGAGGGAGGAAGGGAAGGAAGGAAGGAAAAAAGAAGAAAGAAAACAACAACAACAAAAAAAGAGAGTCTCCCCCTAAAATGAATTCTTAATTTATTGAGGAACTATCATTAATCTAGACTATGAGCCGGGCGGTGGTGGTGCATGCCTTTAATCCCAGCACTTGGGAGGCAGAGGCAGGTGGATCTCTGTGAGTTCGAGGCCAGCCTGGTCTACAAGAGCTAGTGCCAGCACAGGCTCCAAAGCTACAGAGAAACCCTGTCTCGAAAAACTAAAACTAAATAAATAAATAAATAAATAGATTATGAAGTCTTGCCTATCTCGTGACTCTCTCTGGTGCAGGTCTGTCCCAGGCATCTCTATTTCTGTCCCCTCAGGTGCTTCTACATTCTAATAACACTGCCCAAAATCAAGCTTTGCCAAAACTGGCTTTGGAGATTGGCCCAGATCCCTTCCTTGTGGGACAGAAACTGAATGACATCCAGAGGGTTGGGGAAAGGCAAGGTCTCCTTCTTCCCACGTGGGTGCCACAGTGCTGCTTTGGGTGGTTAAGTAAGGTGACCTAGTGGTCTGAGGTGGGTGGCCTTGAGACAAAATCTGCTGCTGTCCTTATTTTCTGTCTTTTGGCCTCACCTTCACAAGCACAGGCAGGAGCCACCAGGCCCTAGTCACATTGGATAGTTCTCTCTTTTTCTCTTTCTCTTTAATTTTTTTTTTCATTTCTTTCTTTTTTTTCTTATTTTTTGGGGGGGGGGTGTTTCGAGATGGGGTTTCTCTGTAGCTTTGGAGTCTGTTATCCTAGAACCAGGCTGGCCTTGAACTCATGGAGATCCATTTGTCTCTGCCTCCCTGAGATTAAAGGTGTGTACCACTACAGCACAGTTTCTTCATTAAGATGGGCCTAGTGAACTGAAGGTGTGGTCAGTGGTTAAGAGCACAGGCTGATCTTGCAGAGGATCCAGAGTAGATGGCCAGTATCCATTCAGGGGGTCCCAGCTGTCCATAACTCCAGTTTCAGGGTATCTGAGACCTGAACGCCAAAGATACATAGGGGGTTGGTGCACATCCAAACATGCAGAAAAAAAAAAATACCCATACATTCAAAATGAAGTTTAAGTTAGAATTTAAAAGACAAACTACCTTTTCACGAAAGCTGGGTGTGGTGGCACATGCCTTTAAGCCCAGCACTCAGGAAGCAGAGGCAGGCAGCAGCCTGTTCTATAGAGTCCCAGGTCAGTGAAGAATACAAAATGGGATACTGTCTGAAGCAAACAAAATTATTTAGACAGGCTTATCACATTAAAGCTGCATGACCCGCCTTCCAGGGCACTGCAGCAGCACACACAGGACAAGATGTGCAACCAGCAAAGAAGAATGGGGAAAGATGAAACGTCTGGGCTGGCGTGACTGGACAGTGAAAATGCAAACAAGACCTAAACATTCTTTCTCCTCTGGGGCTGGGTGTGGTGGTGCACACCTTTAATCCCAGCACTGGGAAACAGAGGCAAGTGAGTCTCTGTGAGTTCGAGGCCAGCTTGGTCTACAGAGCGAATTCCAGGACAGTCAGTACAGTTACACGGAGAAATCCTGTCTCAAAAAATAAATAAATAAATAAATAAATAAAAGGAATTGTCAAAAAAATAAATAAAATAAAATATGAAATGATAATAAAAAAACAGTAATAATAAAAAAAATCAGTCAGATGTGATGGCTCACACCTGTAGCCCTAGCATTCCGGAGGCAGAGACAGGTGGATCTCTAAGTTTGAGACTTGCCCGTGTTACTCTAGTGAGTTCTGGGCTAGCTAAGGCTACCCTGCTGGCTATACCTGAGACTCCATCTGAAAAGTAAAACAATACTAACAAAAAAGAATTTTTTATTTATTCAATTTTTATAGTCTCATATTTATTTATATTTATTTTCTTTTAGTTTTTTTCCCCCTCTTTCTAAAACACTTATTTTTGGAGACAAGCCCATGTAGCCCAGGCTGCTCTGCTTGCTAGGTAGATGGATTTACCCTGAGATCCTGACCATCTAGCCTCCACTTGCTAAGATTATGATTTAGAAGCATGTGCCATTGAACCTGACTGAGGGACTGGAGAAATGACTCGGTGGTGAAGAGGCCTCATCTGAGCACTGGTGGTCAATTCTCTCTACCCGCAGGATTGTTGACTATTGTCGAAGGTCAAGTCCTGTCCCAGGGAATCCAACACATTTTTCTGGCCTCCTGCAACTCCAGGCACGCATATGGTAGACAGACACACGTGCAGACAGAATACCCACACCAGTGTGGTAACTAAACTTAAAAATTTGTTTGAAGCCTGGCGGTGGTGGCGCAAGCCTTTAATCCCAGCACTCGGGAGGCAGAGGTAGGCGGATCTCTGTGAGTTCGAGACCAGCCTGGTCTACAAGAGCTAGTTCCAGGACAGGCTCCAAAGCCACAGAGAAACCCTGTCTCGAAAAACAAAAAAACAAACAAACAAACAAAAAATCCTAAAAGGGCCTGCCTACTTGAAGGAAGTAGCTTAAGTTTGGCGTTAAGGATTTTTAGATTGAACCTGGCATTGTAGCTCACTGGGTATTTGCCCAGCATACCCAAGGGTCTGGCTTCAATCCCCAGAACCTTGTAAACAGGTGTGTTTACTCGGGGCTGTAGCAGCAGAAGTCGGCTATCTCAGGGCTTTGGAGGTCCAAGTATGAAGTTCAAAGTCATCCTCAGCTACAAATCCAAGTTCCGCATCAGCTTGGGCTAATTATACTACATTAAAGCCTGTCTCAAAACAACTTAGCCTAGACTAGGGACATAGGTTAGTGGTAGAGAAAGGAGCCACCACCATTTCTAATGTACTCAACAGGTATTAAGTTCTTCAAATTTGCTTATAAATGATCAGTTGTTGTTTTGTTTTTGGTTTGGTTTGGTTTTTTGTTTTGTTTTGTTTTGGTTTTTTGAGACAGAGTTTCTTTGTGTAACAGCCCCAGCAGCTAGCTGTTCTATAGACCTGGCAGGCCTTGAACTCACAGAGATCCACCTGCTTCTGCCTCCTGAGTGCTGGAATTAAAGGCGTGCACTACTATGGCCCAGCAGCCATTTTTATTTTGTTGAGACAAGGTCTCGGGGAGCCTGGGCTGACTCAAAACTTACTATGTAGCAGATACAGTGGATGAACCTCAACTTCTGCCTCTACCTCTCCTGTGCTGGGCTCACAGGCGCCTGAGGCCACATCCAGTTTGTGCAGTGCCAGGCATCAGCCCCAGGGTCTCTGGGATGTTAGGCAGGCACTCTAAGCACTAAACTTCTTTCTTCTTTCCCTTGACTTGATATTGAGCTGCATCTGCATCCCCTGGACTGCTTATCTGCTTTGCCCACAAGGACCCCCAGCCTCAAGTTCAGGGCCCTCTGACTGCCATTCAGTCTTCCTGGTACCTTTACCATCCTGGCTTCTAGTAATTACGTGCCATAACCTGGCTGTATTATTTCAGGATTCATTCATTCCTAACTGACATTAAGGCCCAACACTGAAATTCTCATCTATCATCAGAGAACAGTCTCTGTGCTTTACCCCTCCTTCGTATATTCCTGATAGGCTTTCTCAATACTTCTTGCATTGAGGTTGTGCAAAGAACGTGGCTTTGCAGATGTGACCTTGAAGAACACCTCTTAGTTAGGGTTATTTATTTATTTATTTATTTATTTATTTAATTGCCGTAAAGAGACACCATGACCATGGAAACTCGTAAAAAGAAAATATTGAATTGGGGTGGTGGTTTACAGGATTGGAGGGTCATTCAGGCCATTACCATCATGATAGGGACAAGTAGGCAGACAGGGTTCTAGTTACACCTTGACCAGAAGGCAGCTTCACTTCACAGTGGGAGAAGCTTGATGAGAGGCCTCAAAGCCCACCCCCAGAGTGACACACTTCCTCCCAGCCTGCACCTACTCCAAAAAGGCCAGACCTCCTAATAGTGACACTCTCTTTGGGGGCATTTTCTTTCAAAGCACCACCATCTCCATCCCTCCAGGTCTACTTTCTTCAACCTCATTATCCCTTCATCTCTCCTTTGTCTTTGGAACTTGCAACTTTCTATGTGAATCAGCACTGGTTGTTGCTGTCTCTGCCTAAGAATCTATCAAATTTGCCTCTTTTCTGTCTCCTAGGTTTCTTACTTGGATGCTGTATTTTGAGAAAGTATGCCCGATGGGATAAATTCTTATTGGTTCCTAACTGTATTCAGAGATCAGTTGCTGTCTTGCCCTTTTGGTTACTGTTCTCCTAACTTTTGCCAGTTCATGCCAGCTAAAGTCTGCAGGTAGTTTGGAGTATATTCTCTTTCCCCTTTTGCTGACCCAGAACTTTTTCAGTTAGTTATACATGGATTTAGTTCTAAGACATTGACCTCATCCTGGAAGAGAACTTGGAAGTGTGTGTGTGTGTGTGTGTGTGTGTGTGTGTGTGTATGTGTGTGTGTGTGTGTGAGTGTGTGCCCACACGACCTCAAGCGACCTTGCTGGCTTGAAGTGTATGGTAAGCCAGAGCATCAGTACGTCACTTAAGCCTGCTTTGAATGCACTATAACCAGGCAAGTCCTGACCTGTGATTCTTCCCAATCTTCTGAGTGGCTGAACCAATAGGCCTGGGCCATGAGGCCCAACTGAAAA